AACCATTTCAGTGCGATACCTCCAAATCCGAAACGTTTCTCCATTCTTTCAAGTAATATGTTGTGGTCGATCGTGTCGAACGCAGCGGAAAGGTCTAGCAAAACAAGTACTACTTCTTCTTTTTGATCTACAGCTCTTAGGATGTCATTTGAGACTTTTAGCAAAGCAGTTTCAGTGGAGTAGTATTTGCGGTATGCTGACTGCATCGCTGGAAATAACTGGTTCTCGGCCATATATCTGTATATTTGATTTGCGACCACCCTTTCGATTGTTTTCGAGAGAAAAGATAGATTTGCAATCGGTCTGTAATTTGAGAGACAGTTCGGGTCCAATGAAGGCTTCTTTAAAGATGGACGTACCAGGGATTGTTTTAACTGATCAGGAAATTCTCCGTTAGCCATGGAGGCGTTGATAATCTTGGTTATAATTGGCGTCAAGTGTGGAATTGACTTTAGGATTCGTGTTGGAATGGGATCCAGTTGACAAGACTTAGTTGGAGATTGAACAATAAGTTTGTGAACAATATCAGCAGATACAGGTTGAAAAGTTTGGAACGACGAGGTGACTGGATAATTGACGTTGATGTTGGGTGCTTGGGCAGTATGGGAGTCCAAATCCGATCTTATTTTCTCAATTTTTTTGATAAAAAAATCGTTGAACGTTTCGGTCAATGTATCCAATGAATCATTATTAGGGAGTGCAGCAATGTTCTTCGATAAGAATAGGCGAGATACCATCTTGAATAGTTGTGATTGGTCAGAGGAGCTGATCAGAGTCCGATAATAGTTTGTCTTTGTCGCTGTTAGAAGATCATTGTAGTGTTTGCAGGAATCAATAAATTTTTCATGGTGAATTTGAAGACCAGATGAAATATATCTTCTTTCATGACGATGTTTGTCTTGTTTAGCCTTACGAAGTTCATCCGTATACCAAGGAGAATGCGGTCCCAGAGTGACCCATCTCTCGTTCACAGGAGCATGTTGATCAAAGATAGACGAGATATTAGTATTATATTGTGTAGTCAGCTCAGTTACACAAGACTGTGGATTAGTAATGAGATTAGATTCTTCGATGTCTTTGATCATACTAGCTAAATCAAGCCTTTTGGTGTTTCTGTGTTTAACATGTAGTGTAGAAGGTTCGGTTTTGTACATTTCACCTTACAAGTAACCAAATTATGATCTGAAATATTGTTGGCTGATAGAATGTGAACGTCCGTCATACCATTATTCTCTTCACGGGATAAGTCCAATGTGTGGCCCAGGCGATGAGTGGATCCAGATACAATTTGAATTAGATCAGTGGACTCAAGGAGATTTAGAAAGGAGGCAGCTTCAGGATTTGATAGATCATCAACATGGTGGTTAAAATCACCGGAAATTATAATGGACTGCCTTGATAATGTAAGTTCTTCAAGAAAAGAGGAGAATTCTTGCAAAAAGCTATTTCCAGTGTTGTTCTTTTTGCACAGAGGAGGGCGATAGAGAACAATTAAACAGAATGTCTCACTTTTGTTGGATATGCTCACATCTAAATACTCAAATGAACTTGTGTTCATGATGGAATTTTGCAGTACGGTATAACCATCTTGTATCAACAAAGCGACTCCGCCGCCCTTACGATTCCTTCTTGGTATGTGGTGGAGTTTAAAATGCGGAAGAATGTTGTTGATGTCAGTAATAACATGGTTGTCATCCTCGGTTCCTTTAAGCCAAGTCTCTGTTATGGCCAGGATGTCTAAATGGTGGGAGATGACCAAATCGCATAAATGAGTTGATTTTTTAACAATCGAACGTGCATTGAGGAGAGCAAAATTACTGGTTGATTTGGTTCTCGGTAGACGGGCAATGCGTGTAATAGAGATTACATTGTTGATGTTTCTTGAGTAAATTTTCTTTGATGGTCGTTGGTGCGTAGAAACAATGGTTGAAATGTAATGATATTGAGAATCTTCGTTTTGAATAATTAAATCTTCCTTCGGTTGAGAAATTGCTCCAAAGTCAAATTGTGACGATAAGAAACTTATTTCAGGACCAGGGTTGGAAGCAATGTCACCACTTAAAGTAAGACGAGCTTGGTTGAAGGTGGCAGTTGAGTTAGCGTAGTATTTGACTTTGGATGCGTTGTAACCTTTAGGTCGTAGACAAACAAAGCGAGGCCGATTAGATGTTGAATACCAAGGTAGTAATACAGCAAAAATCCACTTGTTAGGATACAAACAATGATTCTTGCAAATATAATCCAAAGAGCAAATGTTTAGGCAATCCATATGTCGTTTTTCAATTGCAATAATATAAAGAACTGTGAAAAAAATTAAGAAAATCAAGCAGCGATATGAAGCACGTTCGTTCCCCATAATTAGCGCTAACATTCTCTGGGTTAAAACAGATCCCAGAGTAAAGTGACTAAGTAGTAAGTGTACAATATTTAAGTCCTGTAATAGATTTCAGCTGAAACACACAAGTTTCACATTCACTCTAACTAGTAAGATTAAAGTAGACATTATATTTTTTTAAGCACAATATTATGTTCCAGTTCATTTCATTCTTCTATGAGACACTGTCTCAAGTTTGTATGATGATAAATTTTAAAGCACATGTGTACCTAATTTGTGCTTAGACAATTTAAAATGTCAGAAGTCTTCTAGGTGACATCATGAAAGGGCTCAGTATTAATTTCCTCGATGGGGCCACTCAAGTTGTCCAGTCAAATCTATTTTTACTGCAGCAAAACCAATCTTTGTCCAGACAAATATCTATTATCTCACACCAAAAAACTTTCATCACATATTCATGTGCATTGCAATGTTTGAAAAAGACAACAAAGCCATAACTTTATAAGAAGAACTTGAGCGTTTCAAAAATATTGTTTGAAAACGAGATTGGTTAATATGACCTGATAAATTCAAAAACAATACGACAACCAGAAAATAAGTATTCCTTGATTTTTCATAAAAAACGGGGGCAATTCTGACTACTTCGTTACAATCCTTCACGAAGTTTCTTTTTCGCTCAAAATCGTAACCGTTCTGCCCTTCACCACGACTCAAGGCTTTAAATGAATCGATAATTGGGCGAAATAAACGAGATTGTTCAGGATTTCCGGTATAGACAATAAGGGGAAATCTACCCGAGTGGGTCAAGTTTCGTATTAAAGAGCCGGGTAAATCCCCGAAAGTTAAATGATTTCCCATCTAGTTTCGACTACCGTTTTCGATATCAGAAGTGAAGCTTTAAAGAAAATATTCTTCAAAGAAATTGGAAATCGTCACGATCGAAGAAATATTTTACATTCACGGATAAATTATTAAGACAGTGTCCACAATAAATAACATATCCAATTATCTACCGGGTTGTTCATGTAAGCTTGTTAAAACCTGCGACTACGAATTCATCTATCGACCCAGAGTATTTTTCGTAAAATGAAACAAATAAAAACCTAGGAAATGCTTTTCGAACCTGGTTCCGCCTCACAGAAGAATCAGGGTGAGACTAGGAATGTTTTGACAACTTACCACACCATTCCTTGCGCTCCAGAACCAATAATCTGAAGATTGCGGTACCGTTTCAACACTGTGAAAACGGTATCTCCGACTTGCACGGAATAATACATGTCCGCAGATAGGTTTAGAATATCTCTCAGTCCACCATCACTTTTCTCTCCCACGACTACCTTATCTAAAGTTTTCCAAAGTAAAGGAACGACTCCACAACACCTAAACATCAGCGATTATCTGGCGGCCATAATTGAAATGTGGAAGAGGTTAATGAGCATGCGCCGAAAAGTAGGAGAACGTTCGTTTCCTTGAGAGAACTGGGGTCTAGGGTAGGTCTCCCCAATAAGATTCGAAAGAGGAAATTTTTCAGATATGTGCTAACGAACCGTTTTGATTCAATGTCGCTCCAGTCAAATCTTTGAATTTCCCTTAAAACAGGAAATTCCAGATCGATGAACACATAAATCAGAAATATCTCGACGAAGTTGGAGTTTCGATGGTTTTCCACCAACGAAAGAACTTCGAAGTAAAACAGTAAAAACTTCAACTTTGATGCAGTCTCTATTTTTTATGCTTAAGCTGGGGTTTTAACGAGATGCAGTTACCAGCGGTCTACCGTCGCTTTTAAGACTTCTAAAGTACCGCAGTCTGTGTTACCTCAGAACTCTTGAACAAAAGTTTATCTTTCAAATTGGCACTCTTAATCCCAAATGTATCACCGAACGCTTTTCATTCCACTAATTTAATATTGTATTCTTGTTACCATATTCCCATCAATAGCGTAGCTCCATTTTTTGCATATAACACACGCACAACTCATATTTCCTCCATTCGCTCTGACGAAGGGCTAGCACTCGAAACTTCAGCTTTGAAATTCTTTTCGGTGGCCAATTTACATTATCAACTCAGTTAATTAAACCAAAATTACCTTGTTACTCCCAACGACATACCACCTCAGTTTCTTTCGAAACTTACCTCCATTATCTTTGGTAGGAGGGTTTGTTCGCCCGCGGGAAAGTTTCGGTTATTTAATCGATCGCTCATGACCTTTGAATTATCAGTTATATATAGACAACAGTTGACGGTTAAATGTGGCACAGCTATAATTGGCAGACGTTTTGACTTGGCAAGGGACGATCTCTGCTTGAACAGGAATGACTGGGGCGGATCCTGAGGTGATGCGGGTGGTTCGGTGGAACCCCCTAAATTTTCCCTCAAGATGCTAGAAATCATGGTCCCGAAGACCTAATTTTCAAAATCTCCCGGGAGAGCATGCCCTCGGACAACTCTCCGAACCCCCCTTGACTTAATCCTGGATCCGCCCCCTGAATAGGCTCGGTTTCCGTCACTCTCTCGAGTCCGGTCAGCGCGGGCTCCGGTTCCCGATCCCGAACAGGGGCTTGTAATCGAGGCTAGAACAGGAACAGCAGCCAGAATACTGAAAATGGAGAACAACATCTTCACTTCACGAGTCTCAATCGCCTTATCGAAACTTCTTGAGAATTCGGTGAAGACATGTAATTTTGCTTTGTCGCATCGACACAACCTCGTTCCCAGGGCCTCTTCCCTTAGTTTGGGGGTTAGTTGGGGGCCGAAAAGGAAAAAGGCCCCGGGAACGAGGTTGGAGTCGACAGCAATTTAGAAATTGCTGGTTGTCACGAGCCGGAGACAAGTGATTGACAAACTTTTCTCACGTTCGAGCTATTGTTCTGCTCATTAGATCATTTGTTTAGCCATTTCCTCATCGCCGTTGTAGTCGTGGTTTGCTTAATTTAAGGTCCTTATAAATGGACCACTCACACCCCACCCACCTCCTTTCCCCCTGCACGGAAAGGCACCGGCGTATTTCCCCACGCTTAACATGATTCATAATAGTTGCTTTTCATTCAAAACTGATCCTGATTAGAAGTTACCCTGAGTTCTTTTTATTGAAATCACGCTTAAAACGCTGGAAACCAAATCAAAAGAGACAACGGTACGAAAAATTGTCCAAATCATTTAAGTTCTTTTTCCTTCTGTTCTTCGTAGTGTTAAGCAACACAACCTTTTAATCAGTACAGTACAGACTGTTGGCCTACAACTGCCTGACGATGAGTTTTTATTTTTGATTCAGACAGTAATGTCACCTGTGTCACAAATGACATTTTTCCAATCGACCGATTTCCCAATCTTTTTCTTAATTCCACTTTTCCATGCATGAGATCAGCGATAGACTATTGTGTGGACTTTCCTCATCCTGTGTATTGGCATTCTTTCATGGCCTGTCATCTCATCGTGACAGCTGCAGTTCACATGTCCTTTCGCATTCAACTTACTCAGCTGGGTTTTTGGTTTTTTATCCAGGTAAGTGATCAATATCTTCACGGCCCTCGGATGTGGTCTTCTGCCAAGAATTTTACCATCATCTGAATCGGTCTTCCATAGCTTTTTCGCCGTATAAACTTCAGAGTTTTCCCCGCTGCAGTTGTGAAATGGTGGTCGGCCTACGAGAGAAAGTATTTTTAGTTAGAAGACTGATAGCAAGAGTACTGAAGTAGGCCATGTGTTGACAGATACCAACCAAGTAAGATTTTGGTTCGAAAGCGGGCCACATGGAAAAAATTGTGGTCTGGAAAAATTTAAAACCAGATAATGTTCTATCATGTATTTTATGATATGCTGGATGTTGCACGCATTTGGTTGGTTCCTACTTATGATTTATTGCAGGACAGACAGGTCAGAAAAAGTCAACTTGAATAACTTTTTGCTTCTATTTCTGTCTGCAGTTAAATATATGTATATATATAAACAATTATATAGGAAAATAAAAATTAAAACTTCGCATTAAAACTTCGCGAAGTGCGAAGTTTTAGTGCGAAGTTTTAATTTTTATTTTCCTATATAATTGTTTACAAAGCTCCATGATTGTAGAGCACTCTCCGATTCAAGGATAAGGTTTTTTTCGTTTATATATATATATATATTTATTACAAACTGGATCATCGGATAATGCAATTCAAGACTTTTATTGGCTTAGCATTTATGGTATATGAGCCAATATACCATAATCTAATATCTGTACATTGTAAATTCCAGTTTCTTCTTATAAAATAAGGTCGAGAAGATTTGTCTAATATCTTGGGGGCGTTTTTTTAATAAAACAATTATTCCTCTCTCGCTTGTTGGATATGAGATGATTATAGCCAACGGGGCGCTACGTGCCTCGTTGGCTATCTATCATCTCATATCCAACGCGCGCTCGTGGAATAATTATTAAATATACCATACACACTAAGGTACACAGCCAATCACAGAAGAGGATTTTGTACCACGCGGCACAAATACCCTTCTTTGATTTAGTCCCTTGTCGATTGTGCTGGTAAAAGTAGCAAATTATGCGACAAGCAGTGCCCGATTTCTTCGCAAATTGTGCTCAAATTATGCTCGTTTTTGAAAATAATGCTACTTCTTCTTAATGCATGCTTAAAAATAAAAAACACAAAACCAGTCCAAAACCAAAATGATATATTTATTGTTAATAAAGCATCATATTTTCTTTATCTTGAGTTACACATTTGCTCTGAAAATAAACAACTAACTACTGCACCTCATTCCTGACAAGAAGCGAGGACTTTTACTTAATGTGTCAAAATGTACGATGTACGAGGATGGGTAGCGTGTTGTCTTGTCGACTCTTTTCTAGACTGAGTGCGTCGGTAATGGTTTGTTCTCTCAACTTCGACTTCTTGATCTTTTCTTTCCCACTGGTGTATGTTTTGGAAGCTCAATGGGATGACAAAATGCTTATCTCTGATGAAACAAATTCTCTGCAAGCAGTGCATAATATCGTGTGGTCTCTAACACTTAAATGCTGATCAGGAAACTGATTGATGCGATCATGTAATGGGACTTTTTTTCACGTCAGAAGCCCCCTGGTTTTGTATTTGATGTTGTTTTTCTTCGAGCTCCGATCTCTAGTAATTTGAGCGGGTTCTGGCCTATTAGCCCGCTGATCTCCTTCTCAGTTGCTCGACGCCATTTTGTTGTTTGCGAAAGCTGGAACTGGGACGGACGAAATCTTTACTTCCGGTATTCCCAGTCCTTTAGATGACCAACGGCGCAGTATTGTGGTGACCTTCCCCTCCCCCAGACGAATGAAAATAGACTGAGCCATGGACAGAACTTGAAAATAATTAATCTTAGAGACCAAGCAAGTCATGATTTTGATAATGTTCCCTTCCAAAAACTAAAAATATGCCGATTATGCTAACAGTGCTACTTTGAGAAAAAGTGCAAAAATTGTGCTCGTTTTTCCAAATTATGCCAAAACTTAAGCTGGTACAATTGATAAGGGCCTTCTGGGATTGGCTGATTACAAAAGTGAACTTTGTACTACTTGACCAATCATAAGGAGCATAATGCCTTCTACCAGATCCTACCAGATGCATAGAATCCATTTCATATGCATCTGATAAGACTAATCAAATGAGCTGTAACAAGGGGGACTGGTAGTGCACAGTTGAAACGTTGCCATCTGCATCCTCAGTGCCCAGATCATGAGACATGACAAATACACCAAAAATATCTTGTGGAGCTGTCAATTTCTTAATCAAAACTACTGTTGGTGTGTTTTTATTGGCTGAACATTCTTTTGTAGCTGGCTAATGTTCATGTGATTGTAATAGCAGCTTGTGTCTATTTCTGACAAAAAAGGTTAGAGTCTGAACAGATTTCTTATTTCTTTTCACAAAAGCACATCTCCCCCATGATCATCTTAGTATCACGAGAGAGCACAATGCTTCATTTCAAACAAACTATTCCTTACATTGCTTTTATTCAAGAAGAACATTTAGGAAAAGTATCTACAAAAAACAACGATGTATCATCATACAAAATGTAAATATAATAATACCATTTTCCTTGCATAAATTTACAATAATTAATTAAATTATTCAGATAACAAGCAAACTCTTTCACCCCTTGAACAAGACCTGTTAAAGCATATTATGCTGAAAAAAGCTAATGACATCCATGTCTAAACGATTAACATGGTAATCACAACATGTTTCAATGCCTAAAGTGCATCTTCTTCTACCCCCTCACAAAATCACTTGAACCTTTCTGAGAACAAGATTATATTGTGCTACAAGCTTATACTGTTTATCAAATTTATTGTCTCTTGATTACATTTGAAAGTTTTTGAACAGATGTGTATGAATGCAGAGAAACTTACTGATGGTAAATTTTTAAAATGCAGATTTTAGTCTCTTTTTTTTTCAAAAACTTAAAACAATCAATTTTTAGCTTTTGAAAAAAAATGATGAAAAGGCATCATAACCCCAACTAATAATATTTTTGCGCTATTTTCACTTCTTTTTTTTTTCATTTTGCAAATATACAGTTGAAGGTGTCAACATTACCTTACTTAAGGAGTCAATTTTTATCCTCTCTGTAGAATGAGCAGTAGAGATTCATTCATAACTCCTTGATAATTTTTGTGAGTAAAAACTAATAAATAGCCTTTACAAACCTTTAAACATTTCTTCTCCAAACATTTGCATCTTAAAGTGATCAACATTACTTGACCGTGGAGTACTCATAAACCGATGCTATGTAGATCAGATGCAAAAAGTCACTTCCACACTTTCTCTCTTTAAGCTGAAACTGTCTTCATCTCTTCACTCTGGTTTGATTAACCGGCTGAGCAATTTGATAGCAGAAGCGATGATGCTAGCCACAACCAGTAAACCTTTTCATAACTTGACTTGATTTTGTTCTGAATCCCCTCAACAGTATCAGGTACCAAAGGGAACCAATCACTTTCTCCACCTTTTGCTTGTATGGCTCTGCCATTTTCCTATTTCAATTAAATCACATGAGCAAAACGATGACAAGAATCTCCTCACATCTGCCTTAGCCTGTTTGTGGTTTCAGACATCCTTTAGGTCAGCAACATACATGTAAGCAGATTCATTGATATTGCTACCATTCCATCCCTGTCAAAGCCATTTCAGATCTTGTTGTCATCTCGCTCATGTCAGTTAAACTTATTGTTAATCATCCCCTGTACAGTCTCTCATGTGATTCTCAAGCAGGTCATGTGGAAAAAGTTTTCTGCAGTTAGGACATTGTAGCTGACTTCCTTGGCTAGTAAAACGTCGCATTGGCGGAATTGCATCTTTCCTTGGAGAAGTCGGGCTGTCTGTTACGTCTGGCCCAGTTCCATCAGCCTGCACTTCCATTCCAAGTGCTCTAGGTCTCATCGGATTTGGCTATGATTAAACAAACAGAGGCATATTAATAAATCGTTAAAAACAAAACAAGAAAAATATCAAGAAAAATTGATAAAAAAGAACAATATGAAACATGCAACATGCAACAATCTGCAAAAAGGGCACTGTTTCATGAGAGGCCTCTGGCTTCTAATAAGAATCTAGTACAGCAGAAAACAAAGATACACTTATACCAGGAATAGAAACATTTTCAAGGAAGTCTGTGACCTCTGTATTGTTTATATCAAGTAAATTATTACACAAATTTTCTCATTCTTACTTTTTGCCATGGTTCCTGAACTTGAGCTGCACATGAGCGGCCAGAATTTGGAAGTCTGTTTTGACCTTGGGCCTGCTGTAAATAGCGCAAAGGATGATTTCATAAGTACAGAGTTATGGCAACAAAGCTGTAACCATGTCCAGGTAATTTCACTCCCTAAAATCTTGTTTGAACTTTTCTAGTGCAAAAAACTATTATAATAAACCCATTCACTCCCAAGATCTCATTAGTAATTCTCCTTACTGTGTGCCATACAATTCTTATTATCTTAGTTCTGAGAATTTGGTATCAGATCAACTAATGACCACCTATATGCTATTTTTCTGTATTCTCATCACTTGTCAGCTTGATAATGTATTGATATTGTAAGGAGAATTTCTGTCTTGGTCACTCATGGGAGTTAAAGAGTGTGAGAAGGCGCAGTCTAGAGTTTCAAGTGCCATATGAATTTCCAGAGCTGTTTGTAAAAGAAGTTGATTGCAATGAAGGTGACAGTTATTTAAACAGAGCTGCCATCCTGAAATAACTCTTTTCTCTTTTGCAAGTTTGTGGCTCTCACCTGTCTCTGAGCATTTGCGTACATTTGCTCAATGTTCTGCCTTAAGCCAATATGTTCCTGCCTGAGTTGTTCAAACCGTTGCTTGATTTGATCACTTTCCCGAGAAGCTTGTTCGCGATCAGACAATGCCTTCACCTTCTCTTGTCTTTCCATCTTAAAATCATTTTCATATCCTTCAAGCTGTAAAGTAAATAAGTGTTGACATCAAAAATGAAATCTGCACATACAAAGACTGAATGGTAACACATTAGACATCTACTAAAATACTGGATTGATTAGGGAATGTTTGTCTCAACTATTGACTTACTGCATTCCTCATGAGTTCTTGTTCCATCTCATTATCTTTTAGTTGTATTTCTTTTTCTGCACAATCTCTCTTCGTAGCTGTTAGCTCATCACTTAGCGCATGTAGCTGTTGTAAAAACCGTGCTTGCTCTTCTTCATACTTAAAAACAAAGATTAAAGAAAGTTAGGTTTCAGTGTCATTCTCAACAGATGTAGGTATACAAACTGTGTGTGCACTTAAAAGCCAAAAGTGACCATGGGGATACACATTGTCCAATTGCCTAATTTATCTCAATATTTTCAATTATCAGGATTATAACAATCAACCACAAACTTTGATCTTTCCTGATTTTGTAACATTTCATTCCTTTACAAGATAAGAACCTTGCTGTGTTATTTAGCAGGCCAATAAGTTGTGTGTAAATAGGAAAGAGCTATGTTAGCATGATTTTCTTAGACCTCAGACTTAAATGAAGTGTGAATGCAGCATATTACACAAAAGTAATTCATGATCAATTAGCTGCTAACCCTTTCAAAGCTTGACATACATTTATTTAACCACATATAAATCCCCAGTGCTTAACTTACCGACTTAAGCTGAGCAGTGTGAAGATCTTTTGAAGTGGCCCCTTCTTCCTTGCTTCTGTTCAGTTCTACAATTAAGTGTTCCCTCTCTGAAGCCTTTGCCTCTAGTTCCCTGTTCTCCCTGTTCAATTTTGAAACCTCTTCTGTGAGCATGGTAAGCTCTTCTGAGTTAGAAGCAGATGCCTGTAATGTAGAATAAATCTTAATCAAAAATACAACCTACTAAATTTTTTTTTTTATTTGTGTCATTAAATTCTAAGCTAATGTGTACCTCCAAGCAAAAAACTATCGAAAACACTACTACCAATCCCTAACATTTCTGTGTTTCCCAATATGTTCACTCATTTATCCTTCCACTAGAATGAATCTCAAACCTTTGTTAAAAACAAATCTAGTGCTCCTAAACTAGCACTTGTTAGTTACAACTACATTAATTGAGTAGTAATAATTTTTTCAGCTTTAGACAAACACACAGAGAATAAGAAAACTTCAATGAATAAACTGTTGTTAAAAAATATCTGTGGTAAGCCAATTTTGATGACCCGTTTGGATGGGAAAAAACTTAGCCAGATTAGAAAGTATGATTTAATGTGTTACAATCAAGTGAATTTTAAAAAAATTATTATCACATCACTGTTAACCAGTGTTATCAAATTCACAATGACTTACCATATACATTATGATCACTGAACAGAATATTTGCTCACACAGTATATTGAATCTTAGAATCTACTTAAGGTTTACCATATTAAGTTCTTTAATTCAAATTCAATACTTGCTTGAAGTCTCTCAAAATAACAATAAATATGTTTGTGAATAAAGTCCATTTTCATCCACAATTTTAAATCAAAACAGAAACCAGTATACATATTTTTTTGACCATCATTTCAAGAGGGCAAAACAAAGAAATGATGATAGCAGCATCATTGTTTAGACTTCTTGGGTTTGGTTATTTACCTCTGGGTCTCCATCTGGATTATCCTAAACCTGGTTTAAAATTCTACGGACATCTGGATGCGTTGATTGCTGGCCCAGTCCTCTCTTGAGATCTCTCACTCTTGTAACAGTGTCATCCCTAAGAGACTGTAACTCATTCTTCAAAGACTCATTCTCTGTCACCACAGTTTCACAAAACACTTGTTTGGCATTAAGGTTCCTCTCTAGTTTTGTGACCAATGCCGTAAGACGCAACACTTGACCTTTTAATAATTCAATGTTGCCTTCTTGGACAGCAGCTAGGGCAGTTTTTAATTCATTTACTTCATTGCTTTTCATATCCCTTTCATCTCTAAGGGTCATGATTATTTCATGTAGTTCTTTGTTTTCCTGGAGAAGCAAAAAATGATTGAAAGTTCAATTAACAAAATGAAGCTCAATTCAACAGCTTTCTTGTTAAAAAAGGGAAAAAAAATAGGAAATAACAAAAAACTTAGTTGAAAAAAGTTAAACAAGATGCAAGAAGGTCTTATTAAACAATGTGGACAGATCACACACTTGACATTTCAAACCAGAGTTATGTTGAAGACATAATTTATTTTTGTTTAGAAAATTTAATTTGACTTGCATGTAATTAAGTATGTCATTGGTATAAAAAAAATGGTCTAATTCTTCCAAATACAAAACGAAAGTATCAAAGATTCTTAGAAGGTTCTTTCTTAGACAACTCAATTGCTGCATAAGAAAGTTCAGGGCTTGTTTTGCACATTGTAATAAAAAAGCCAAGGTAAATAATTTAATATCAGCTGTTTCAGATAGATTTGCTTCTACAGCATTTCTAACGGAAAAAAAACTAAAACTTTTTGAAGAGTAATCATGAACGTGCAGAAACTGAAACCAGGTATAAACCTGTTTGAGCACCATATCAGGTACTATTTAAAAACGACCAATCAGGCTAAGAGTAACCAAACGGGGAATCCCCAACTACATTCAGGAACAATCTTTTCTTATTCATATTATTTTCGGTTTAGAGAGAGAAAAAAAATATCACAAGGAAACCACGAATAAATACAATATTTCAATAACTTCTACTAGTTAAAGCATTTGCTGTTAAGCTGTAATATCACGAGAGAAGAACCTAACCACATAATTAACGACGAGCGAATACGTGCTCACAAAAAAGGCGCTTAGCAAAGCAGATTCTTTTGAGTGCGTGTCGTCCTTCCCGTTGTTTGTCTGAGATCGGGAAAATTCCCACCAAATAAAGATCTTACGCATAAAGGAAACTGATATATTTTGCTCAGTATTTTTGTGAATACTTGCTGAAGAAAAATTTATCCATACTCATACTCTTAACTGGAACTTTTTGCAACACATTTTGAGTCAAAATGATTAGGAGAAACACACGCACGTCCTAAACAACATGCCGCGTATTTGATTACCTAACGATTGAGTTTATGCTTCACTGATTCTCCCGTTCGCAGAAGCTAAGAGAGAAAATGTTTTCACTTACCACTGCCAAATCAACTCCAGCCGGCCCTCTGTTGGTTAGATGGTCTAGAGCTTGTTTTAGCCTTGTATTATCGCGAGTTAATGCTTCTAAAACCTTCTTTGAAACTCCAGGAGTAACAATGGCGGTTTGACCGCTCAAATGTTGGCCGTTGCCCGCTTGAAGACTCAACTGAGTTATTCTATTCTCTGCTCTCGCCAGAGAGCCTTCTAACCGTTCAATTTTTTCTCTAAGATTACCTATCTCCATATCTTTCTTCTGCAGTTGTTGTCCTAGGTTTTGAACACCCGTCAATTTTGACGCCATCTTCTGTCTATCTGCGACCATTACAAACAACGTGTGCCGTAGTCGGTCGTTTTCGGCTTTCAGAGTCTCCCTGTCCACTTCTGCTGCCATTTCAAAACAGGGTAAGTTGTGCTTTAAGCGTTTCCTGATAATTCAGTGTATTCAAAAGATTCAATGCTTCGACCCTCGGTCGGTTAAGATTGGTACGCGTCTGATTAGAAGTACCACCTTTATACGGTGTAATAGGGAATATGCGGGAAACTCCCGACGCTTAAAAAAAAAAAAAACCCTTACGATATCAACTAGATTAGTCCCTACGGATAACATTGTTGTTATGCAACTCTGCAGGCACTACTTTATTCGTCCCCACTCCTACCATTGCCTCGCATGAATTCTTTTCTGTTCTATTTCCATCGACAAAATTCTTTTTTGATAACAGTTTTAGGTAGAAAACATTGATATCTAGGCCATTTTCGAAAAAGGAAGAAAACACAAAACAAAAGAAATCACATCGAGGCTGAGTCCCCCAAGCCTCGATGTGATTTGTTTTGTTTTGTTCCCCTTGGCCTCGAGGTCAAGTCTCAATCTTAATATATCGAAAATGGGCTATTACGTAAAATATTGGCCTCGGAAGTTGCGAAACGAATACGAAAGAAAAAAAAAAAAAAAAAAAAAAAGAAAAAGAAAAAAAAAAGGAACAAAAAAGACGCACGAGTAATCCCTGATCATATTACCACAAATCCTTATCATCCCAAAAAGGATAACAATATACCGTCTTAATTAAAAGGATGTCTGGCAAAAAGTTCATGGAGGGGGGAGATATTTTTTCAGAAGATGAACTTCATAGCTACCCGTACCGATCTACGTCCCTTGAAACAAAATGTTCCGCCCGCTCACTTATTGATGGAACGTACTCGAGATTGAACATGAGTCATACGGTAAGAAAGAATTATGATTCAAGACAACAGGCTCTTTACTCGACAGTATCCACCGAGGCATTTATGATATTATAAATTGTATTAGATCACGGTGATCTGTACGTAGGAAATGCTATCCGTAAAACTCTTATTCTAGGGGAAAGTGACTGCATAGATAGCGCTTAGCCAAATAAATGAATAAATGGATAGATAAACAAAACTAAAGCCGACATAGGGACGATCTCAACAGAAAAATTTGCAACCCAGGCAATATAATCTGATATTTACAACTTCTTGGGCCATTTCGGCAAGTCCCCTTGTGAATTATTCTAACGCGTAGTCTTAAAATAGATGTTAAAGATTCAGATTCATGTAGCAGTCTCAGAGATGATGATCCCTCTATACGTTGGTGTTTCTGAGAAAAAAATGCCTTGCACATCCGTTACCTTTAATACGCTTTTGTTACTGGTAAAAATAACCTCACAAGATGAAAGGATAACTTCTGTTTCGAAATTGTCGATGCAATCAACTGATTGTGGAAGATTGTCAGTTGGGGAAAGTGTGGTTAGCTCGGTCTATCATCCGGTTACAGAGATTTTGAAATGTCGTTATGATTTCACAACAGGTATACTCGATGATTTTGTTGAAAGGGTTCGTTTGCGTCCTCCCAAAGGACTGGGAAACCGAAACTCCAGAACTTGGAAATAATATGACTTTGGCATGCTCGAAGCGTATCTCTTATTTGCAAACGCAGCTCTTAAAACGAAAGGCTTGCACAAGCGGGTTACATATGGCGAAAGCGAAAACTCTTAGCGACGTGGTTTGCATAAAATAGCTCGGCACGTCCATTACATGCGTTGTGCATGTGCTCATGTCACAACAGCTTTGACACTTTGCTCTCTGCGCTTTCTCTCGAGGGGAAACAATAAACGCCGGGGTAATTCTACCCCATCTGCATGTTTCCGGCATACACAAACAGATAATGTAGGTTGAAACACGTGATATGCAGATGAATGAACTCCCCTTGAGTGTCGTGGATTCTATTCCCAGTTCAATCCATTTTTGCAGTCGATCACGGCTTTAATCTCCCAAGTCTATTTGCTTTATTTTCAGTTCTTCCATACATGACTAGGTGTAAATGTTAATGTCTATATCTTAGTATTATGCCCGTCTAATTGGGGAATTTTTTGGTTTTATCTATTATGTAAGCGTTATAAACCACTTTCATAAATGGCTGCCGGATTAATATTCTTTTGTTTAAATTTAAATTAGCCTTTCTGGCCTCGTTCTCCAGTACAAAATTCAAAAGAATACATTATCTCAAGCGAGGCAAGAAAGGCTAATTTAAATTTAAACAAAAGAATATTAATCCGGCAGCCATTTTTGAAAGTGGTCAATAAGGTCGTCCTTTCGAATTTGAACACCATTTCATATGAGTAATCACTTAGGGCCGAGGAGAGCTAAGGATTAAAATTATGATATGTCACGCGAGTTTTCAGAGGTTGCACGAAATAGCTGAAAGGAATTTTATTTTTGTACAACAGCACTAAAGCAATAAAACCAGCCCAGCTAAGAATAAAATTGTAATGCTTTTAATCAAACTTAAGCCTTTTTAAAGTTTTAAATTCCAAGTAAGTTTTCTTGAGGCAATTACCAAAATGAATGGAAAACGCTCTCGGTCTCAGGCAATCAGCATCAATTAATTTTCCCACCGAATCACAGGCAGCCCAAGCTCGCTCAAGGAAAAGCGGACGTGACTCTTACTGTTTTGCGCTATGTTAGTGTTCAATTGGGCACCAACATTAGCGCTAACTCGCCGAAAACGCTTCAAAATGGCCTGAGACGCTAGGAATCAACAAAGAAAACAACAAGGCAATAAGGTAAGCCCATTTTATTTCAAAACAAGACATTTTTTCTCTCTTTTAAGGCAAACCGATAACATCCCATACAAACCTTTATAAATATAAAACGTTGCGCAACATGGTAAGAGTCACGTCAGCTTCAAATTTCTAGTACTGAGCTTGGGTTGCCTGTGACCCAATTAGCGACCTCCTCGTTTTCACTGTTACCCATCGAGAGAAAGAAATTCAGTGGATAAGGTTCAGAAATTGCCATGTTGTAGAAGATAGGTTAGGGAATCACTTCTCCAAGTTTTAGGTTTCTTTGTTTTCCCAAACTTAAGATATTCGTCGAAATGTTTTGCTCAAATTTACGGAGCCCAGTATGGAACAGCTGTGTTAATATCAGCTGTGGATATCTTTGGTCCACCAAAATGGCGGCCAGAAATAGAGTAAAACATCTGCAACTTATTTTGGCTATCTAGCCCACTGATTATCGAAAATAAACCAACAAACATGTACAAAAACACTTCTTCCAACACATAATTACGAAAAAGGCTAAAAATCAGCAGATAAGTCTATATTTTTCGACAAACGCAATCGGAGCTGTAAGTTACGCAACCACCATAACTCTGAACTTTAAACTGCGCTGGTTTCCAAACCGAGTACGCTATTGAGCTGAAATGTTTGAAAATAGACGCGAATTCAGACCCCCTTGTGCTCGATGAGGATAAAAAATTTTCATGGTTCTATATTTTCGAATTTTCGAATTTGAAGATGTCAAGTGAAATCAGAAATAGCTTACCAGTCACACGATAACCGCGAGGCCCCACTAACAGTACCAGACTATGGAAAACTCAATAAGATACCCAAAAATGTCAAAAAGTAAGTAGAAGTTGAGCAACTTCATTCCTTTCCGCGAAAAGGGGCGCTGGTTTTTGGCTAGAGGATTATCCTAGTCAGGAGAAATTTCACGTGTTGGGTTATGGAACGGCGGGAAAATGAATCATAGAAAACTCCTAGGTGTTACGGTCTCTTTTCAAATGCTTCGCGCTTATTATCAAATTTTCGGCCACATAACCTACAGTGTTTGTGCTTGCGACAGCCTGGAATAGTCCACCGTTTCAATGATTACAGGAGCATACAGATAACGGTGTAAAAGCGACCAAAGCTCAGCAACTGATTGTCTTGTGTCCCATAAATTCGATTCAACCTTATTTCCCAAGTATGAGAATCAAAGCTCCGCTAGCGCGCCTTTCGCACTATATTTCTGGTTGCAATGAATTCTTCACTTCGGTGAATGTTATATATTTTTCTCCAAAAATCGTGGCCGAGGTTAATTAACTACTTTGCCTTCATGTCCTTTTATTTGAAAAAATTAAAAAAGCAATTTCTTGGAATGATTGCGTGACTAATTGTCACGCAAGGGGACATAACGCTTAAGTCAGGATTCTATTAGATTAATATCTTTGAAAACTCCAGGAGAGCTCTCATGAGTGTGATGTGTGGGTTGAACACTTTTTGAACTCTTGACCAACCACCTGCGGGTGGTGATTATTTCGCTAATTTCCTGTTTCATGTTTTCGTTCTTCTGTCCATGATCCTTTGTTCTATGCGGTTAGTTATTGGCAGCTTTGCTCAATCGAGCGAAGCGGATGTACTTACGGATCTTGAACAAACTGATTTGAATTTTTCAAAACCTTCGTTGGAAAGTTATGCCAGAATTTCTTCCACTCGACTGAGCATAGATCGTATTACTTCTAAGGGCTGACGTTTGATAATTTTGATAGCTTTGCCACAACAATTGGATATATTTGACATCCAGTTTTAAATTTCACTGGTCACATTTTGATGTAGATGACTTGAGAATCAAACCGTTGAAAATATCGCGCCTTTTGAATTACGATAGTAATGGCATTACATCGGAAAGTATCTGGATCGCCAGTTGAGGTATTTTAAAATCGTTATCTTGTTTTTACTAAGCCATAAAAACACTTGAGTTACTTTTAAATGAGCGAGAAGACTACGTGGTCTTCTTTCGCGCAAAGCTCTGGTGAATACAAGACAATAATGCGAAAAATTACTTTCATATTGCCGGGAGCGATCGGGGAAGTTATCGCTAGCATTAAGAGTTTGCAATCAAGTAATAGTTTCCGTGGTGAAACACGTATTACGTAGGGAAGAATTTAATTATCTGAGCATCGTATAGCTTTTTCACCCCATCAAGAAAGTTCGATTAATCCTGGTAAAATTAATTATCTGCCACCAAGTCAAACTTAGGCGAAGTACTAGTACTAATTATTTTCACCCACTGAAGTTTTCAAAGTCGTTCTACCTTTTAAAGAGAAATAAGTTCTTCTATTTTAAGAAGAGATTAAAATTGCAGATTGTATGAAAATGAATCGTAAGGAAACTTCTTAAAATAAAATCCCTGCCTTACTGACAAACAATTCTTCAAACATAAGTAGACGTTAAGCTTAAAATTAAACAGACTACAGACGAACCTATTCTGAATTAAAATATCAGCGCGTTTCCCTCTCTATATTAAGGATTATACTTAGAATATTCGCATTGATTTGTGTGCTCCTTTTAAGGAACTCTGTAGATGAACAATATGGAAGGTAAATGTATTTCCTTAAGGTTTGCTGGTTTTTTTTTTAATACTGTGCCCATAGTTGCTCAAATTTCTGTATAAACAATTGACACAAATTTATCAAATCGGACAAGACTTTTAGCCTAGGGTTTGTCATAGCGTTGTCTTAAGATTCTCTTTAGTGTGAGGTAAATGGGAAAAAATGGGAAATGGATGGCGGGGGAGGAATAATGTTGCTCGGTCAAACCATTGTTAGAGTATAGCAACTTAGACTCGGGAATTGTTTTTAAATCCCAAATCTCTATTATGACCCCCCACCCCCACCCCTACCTTTTTAACCCTATACACCCTAACATCAGTATGCATACTGTTCTCTAGCCATTTGCTACAGTGCTAACAAGGAGAATTTGTTTATCAGTCAAGACTTCATAACTTGGTGTCATGTTTCCTTTATTCTCATGACTGTAATGCTGGGTTCACAAGTGATATTGTTAGGAGAAATAAGATGCTGATCACTGTAAGGGGTCAAAGAGTGAAACAGTTCCACTGAAAAGACACTTACCTGAACTGCAATGCAGAATTGCACTACTGTGATCTCTCTAGGTAGAAACATGTACAGTGGCTATATGATTATATGGCTTCCCTCTAGGTTTATAAGGCCTGGGTGACCTGCTGTTTAGCTGATCTTGGTGACAACCGAAGAGTTACTGACTTAGCTGATGACTTAAAGGATGGTGTCGTACTGAGTCAGTTGATCAAGTCAACCACAGGATATGAGCTTGCTCAAGGCCAACAGGTAACACTATAATTTGACTCATCTGTCATCAAAGAGAGTGATCACCTCTTGTGAAAATTAACCTTTTTGAGATCTTTATCTTAATTTAAACAGGGCAGGGAATCGTCACAGTCACACCAAACAGTACGGCTTGTGATAGATTACATGAAGGGAAAAGGAATTGACATCTGCTGTAAAGTGGAAGGTGATCAAGTTAATTCTTCATTTTTTTTTTCAAAAAACATTTCAAAATGGTATTTCCTTTCATGATTGTCCTTTTGTTCGATTGAAAATTTCTCTTAGAGGTTGTTTTGTTGTACTCACCTGATATTTGCTTCAAATGCGCTCAAATTTGTGATGTATACTAATTAACAAATCAACAGTGTGGTCTGTACTCACATAGGCAACAGTTTATGTGATCACAGTGGTCTCATTCCCCTGCACTTCATCAGTCCACAACATTTTAACCACTGTGTTGATGAATATCATTCTTGATAGAGTACAGTACAATTGTCAATTTGTTTTTTTCCACAATATTGATATTAAATAAAAGAATTATCCCAGTGTGTGACCATTGTATGGTACATTGGTGACAAATCGGCAAATCAGATTGCAACATTACTGCCAGTTGTGGTGAAATAATTATTAGAGCTAGAGATCAGGTTACATCATGTTTGTTGTAGCTCATCACACTTTTCTCTGTTATCTTGAGTTCAGATATTGCAAGTGGGAAACTGAAATTTATCTTGGACATTTTGTGGCTCATCATCTTGCATTTTGAAATACACAGTGCCAGTGAGTATCATACATTGTATGCAGAGATAAATTTCTCTATGATATTATTACTATCTTGGGTTCTGTCCTCGTGTACCGGTTCACAAGAGCCAATACAAAAGACCAAACAATACACAATAGCTAACCGATAACTCCTAAACAAAGAAAGAACAATGGTAATTCCCTTGTGAACCGGTACACCAGGACAGAACCCTATCTTGTCATTATAATTTTAATTATATTGTTGTTCCTCAGATGCTGTTCCTCTCTAGAAACATGCAGAATCATTTGAACTGCAAAATTAGCCTTGGAAATGGCCCTCATTAACTCTTCAACTCTCTTGAACGACCAAGACAGAATTTCTCAATACAATATCAAGAAGAAAATTGATGAGAATAAAGAAAAATATCATTCAGGATAATTTTAGTTGATTGAATACCAAATTCTCAGAACTAAGATTATGAGAATTATATGGAATACAGGAAGGTGAATTATAAATGAGAACTTGGGAGGGAAAGGGTTATTAGGGCTGCAGCATACACATTCCTCTCCCCACAGGAAAATTTCTATAAAAAACAATTTGCACAATTTTGGTCAAGTCTGATCAGACTTTCAATCTGTGAGGTTGGGGGGTGGGAGGAAGTATTGTTGCACTGCCATGTAATGATTTAGGAAAGCATAAATCTCACAGAGACCAGTTGGGAGAGGTTTGCTGGGGTACTGCAACTAGTCTGCTAAACTCCTGGCAGAGCTCTTCACAGCTCAATAAAGGCTGATAGTTTTGAAAGAAACTGTTTGGGGCTGCGTCGGTGGGAGTAACGAAATAATTTGGATATATCGACAAAGTTGAAATGGTAAATTGGCCACCGTAATGACTACAAAAGCTGAGGTTGCGAGCGTTAGCCCTTCATTTCGAGCGTTAGCCCTTCACTCCGACGAAGGGCTAATGCTTGAAATGTCAGCTTTTGTAATTGTTATGGTGGCCAATTTACTACTTCAACTTTGTTGATATATCCAAATTATTTCTATTCAGCTCAAGTTGCTTAAGGCCTCTCACCTTCCTGTGGGAAAAGAACTATGCTTGTGCCAAAGCTCTAATAATGAAGGCCTGTTTGTAGGCTTCTGCAAATTATGAGATTTATCAACATTGGACAACTTTTGGTGTAGACTTCTGTTTAATTACCAAAAATTTAAAAGTTTATGCAGTAGGACAACATGCAGCTGCTGAAAGAAGCGATGAGGTGTATTCTTGGAAGGATTCAATTTCCCTGCATTGTCCTCTTGTATTTCTCTTGAGTTTTGCTCCAAGAATTTTGTGTTAAATCAATCAATATCCCTCAGTCTACATTTTTTTTCTTTGTTGTTTGGCTGTAACTGTACTCTAATCATTAGGCTACTGTGTAATTCTCCTTGAAAATGAAAGTTTATTAAAATGTATCATTATAGCTATTAGTTCTGGTATTTATTTTGTTTTGGACTTAATATATCTGTCTCCATATAGAATTGTTTTTCTTCCCTTTGTAGATCGTGCTGCATATCAGCGGACAGTGAATCTGGGAAAGAGGTTTCTTCTGGAGTGGTGCTGCACTGAAATACCAAACAGTGCAATTGACCCCAGAGGACCGTTTTTAGATTTGTGAGTGAGAATTATATTCAACTGCCTTTTTTTCAGTGGAGAGCAAACTTTGTGTCCATGGGATGGAGGTGTCTTTAATGAGAGCTCCGCCATTTCATTTAAAATATTGTTTGTATTAATTGGATTTTTCTGTTGTTGACAGTCTTCAGGATGGTTTTCTGCTTACCAAGCTAATTACCAAATACTGTCCAGTTGACGGAATCAACATAAGTGATTCACAGGTTAACAATAAGTATTGAATAATTGTTTCTTGATTTGATGTAGTTGGTCTCAAAGTGGATGAAGTGAACTTATGTTGTGCTTAATGGCTGTTTATTTTAAAAATATTGACTTGATAATTTGACATGACTGAATTATTGTTTGATCCTGAAGGTGATTAACAAAGGTTCATTTGTTAACATTTTGAAGACTGCCGAGGATCGTCTGGGAATTCCTTGCAAAATCCTCAGGTAACAAGATTTCTTAGACGTAAAAGTGATTTATTCATCTTGTATTGACAATACATGTTTTTTACTGTCTATCTGTCTGTGTTTGTGTCTGTCTTTGAATCAGCTGGTCTGTCTGTCGTCAGCATGTCTATCTGTCTCTCCATCTATCTATTTGTATGTCAGTCTGTCTATCTAAGTGTCTCTCTCTATCTGTATGTCTATCTGTCTGTCTGTCTAACTGTCTGTCTGTTTAACTGTCTGTTTGTCTATCCATCTGTCTGTCTGTCTGTCTGTCTAACTGTCTGTTTGTCTATCTGTCTGTCCCTTTGTCTGTCTCTCTTCCTGTTGATCTGTTTAACTGTCTGTCTGTCTGTCTGTCTGTCTAATTGTCTGTCTCTTTGTCTGTCTGTCTGTCTGTCTTTCTGTGTGTCTGTCTTCACACTGTATTCACTCTGTCTGTCTTGCCTTCTACCTCTTTGGCTGTCTGACTGTCTGTCTGTTTCTGTGTTTGTCTTTGGGCACTTTTCTTTTTATTAGGACAATCAGTCACTGCAGCAGAAGTATAAAATGTATCTTTCTTTGATTTTAATTGGATAGCTCATCAGGAATTTTGGATGGAAACACGTTTGACGAATATGCAGTGATCATTTACATGGCTGTACTTAGACGAAAGGTTAGTTAAAAGTGAATTATCATGAGATATTTATTTAGGCCATTAAGTGTCCAACCTCAAATAAGCTCCCAGCTTGTAGGTGAGAAAAGTTAATAAATGCTCATGCAGCCCCATAGGGTGATACCCATCCATAAATCAAGTGAAGTGCTGAAGAGGAGTCCTGGGCCCAGTTGTTCGAAGGCCGATTAGCGCTAACTCAGGGTTAGTTGTTAATCCCGGTTTCTATACTTCTCTGTTCAAAGGCCGNGCCCCTGGTTGTTATTTCTGTACTGGCTTAATAAATTTTTTGGACCGTGAAAGTTGGTTCCTATCAGAGGAAGGCACTTATTTGAGGCTGTTTTGTTGATGAATAAACTCACTACTTACTTAATTTAATGATAAGCACCCGGCCTCCAAAAAGCGCCACGTCTCAAGGCCCAAGAATTTAATCGTTGAATTAATACCGTAAGCGTAAGCGGAAAAACCTTGAACTGTTGGACCAAAGTAGCTAAGGAATCTGCATCCTCTTGAATACGTTATGTTGTTGACTTTGAGCGGGAGTTGTAATGGTAGGCCGCGGAATATAGGCAGTTTGATTAATCGTTTTAAAATGATTTGAAAGTTTTCGCATAGTAGGAAATTCTCTCATTTTGTCGGCTGACGCGGGTGGGTTGATGACCGAACGAACGATTTGTCAGTTGTGTTGGATATATTTAAAAGTTCTACTTTCCTATCTTTCTTAACTTTTATAGGTAAATTTACTGTAACTGTTTCCATTCAAAGCCTATTTCGATTTTTCTACGCCAACATAAGGACACTTGATAAATACTATTTTTTGCCATTCTTGCTGGTTCTTTACTTTTCAACGGTTATCCTTTCAAAAGACGTTATTTATTATGGTAAATACTGAACACTGCGATTCAACACTAAAAGACCTTAAGACTTCCACAGTCAACTCTCCGTTAACGAGCACTCTCGTGAGCGGACAGTTCTACCTTAGACAGAGCAACAGAACTATGGGGATCGGTTTTGGCATACCTATTTGTCTAAGATAAAGTAAGCGGTCCGTTCCTTTGACATTAACAACAGTCCGACATAACGGTCACCAGTAAGCAGGCATCCACCAAATTCTTCTTTGGTTTCCGTTTGTGGGAATAATTCCCGTACGTATGCGGGAGTTCTACAAACGGACAAATTTTTCCATTGAAACCCCTGATTCTGTATTTTACTGAACGGAAAATCATCCAGTCAACGAACTCGTTGAAACTCAGACCAGATGTGTGACTAACCTTGAAGAAAGTTATGCTTTCTAGCTTTGTTAGGCTGTTATGACACTTCTCTAATTCCACTTGACTCCTCTAATGTAATTGAAAGCCTTTCACTCAGTGGACTACTATTGGGAAGTTCTAATTGGCTGCACTGCCGCTGTCGACAACGTCAAGTTACAATTCGTGTATCAATAATCTTCTGGGAGTGCATGCAGTTATTTGACCAATTTTAATGAACAATAAGTGTGGGAGAAGTAAAGCCATAAATTTTGCTCTCATATCGCGGAAAAACCGCAAATACAGGAATAGGAAATGGGGGGCAGAAAAGAAATGGCAACCAAAACAATGAGAAAATCACTGTACTTAGTTTGTTACCATGTTCCGCGCTTGTGCTGTATGATGGACGACTGACTTTAAAATTTACACTCCATAGACTCTATTTTATTGCCACCCAGCTGTAATAGCTATCTTTTGTTTCTCTTTTTTAGCAGCTGATTGCGAAATCGTCAGCTCTGCCCGCACGGATTTGTCCCACGCATCAATAGGCTGTACACTTTCTGGTCACATACAGTAATTTCCTGTTCACGCACACTGTTTTCAGTGAAATCGACATCCGTGATATGCATAGGTTGGCTTTTTAAGTATCAATTGGCGTCATTTTTGTTGGTAAGCGACCAAAAACCTTCCATAAGCAGAATCTGTAGTGATTTTCTTCTCCGCTGAGAGAGAGAGAGCGTCCTCGCATACCTGTTACCCACTGAATATTTTTATTCCCACTTAGATTTGTGCATTGAAAGGCGAGGAACCCATCAAGGGAGGAGTGAAGACAGAACCTTCTCCATCCAAACAGAGGAATCAACTGAATGGAGACAGTTCCTTCAGCTACTCCCCGAGCAAATTTCCACATAACAAAACCTCGCTGGTTGACTCATCTTGTAAATGTTTAACTCAGTTGTATTGTGTATGTGTGTATGTGTATCGCTATTTAAAGCTATTTTTGAAATTGCTGAGTAACAATCGATTGTGACGGAGGTCTGATTGTGCAGGTGAGAGTAGTTCTAAGAAGGACTGTCAGTCGATGACTCCCACTGTTCTTTTAAAGACCTGAAAGGAGGTCATCATTAGAAAAGTTGTAGGTCAGTCGTGTGTTGTAAGTCTGGTCAAGTCAGTTGTTGTGTTAGAGCAATTTTCGAAAGTAATCCGGATTGCGGAAGTATTTCTTTTCTTCGCTCTGTGATTGGTCCAGAAAACTCACGCCACTCTCCCAACCAATCAGATGCCGAAAAAGTAAAAGCAATCACGACTTGGTCGCCCGCGTTTTCCCGCGCTTTAGGCAGTGTGGTTTGGTTTTACTTGACCAGGAAGTTGAGTGAGGTATCTTCTACTGAAGCCAGCAAACCATTCACTGGTCTTCTAAAGGCAGTCGTTGAAAGTATTCCGTTCTGAAATTTGAACATTGATGAAAGTCTCATTTAATCGCAGTTCGTCAAATTGTGTGCATTGTGCTCATTTTGCGTCTTTCATTTTTTAGTGTCTCCCACATCACTGAGGACCCTTGTTGATCACCACACCAAGTCTCATGCAGCAATTCAAGTGAGTTGTGTCACAACAAATGTATATTGTACCTCTGAAAACTTGATATGTCCTAAGCGCCGGAAATAATTTTTATCTAAGCAATAGAGCGCACTTTCTATCGGTTTACCGACGTAATAACAAACGCGAGATGTTGGGAGAACTCCGAAAAAGTTTGTAAATATCGAGTGATTGGTTTACAAACTTCTCTCATGTTGTCATAGCATCCCAAGTGGGTTATTACGCCTGTGAACCGATAGAAAGAGAGGTCTTTTGCTTTTATAAAAAAAGCTTAAAACAAAACTGTTCATTGACCGGTACAACTAACGATAATGTTTTTGACTAATCGGGTGGCTCGTATTGTCATCGAAAAGTTCATTGTTGAAAACCTTCCAAACGTTGTTGAGTGCTACAATATACTCATAAAATACTCAGGCTGTAAAATGTATTAGTTTGAATTTCTAATCATTCAGTGTTCCATGGAATAATGAGGAACAAGTTTAGAGGTATATGATTTAAGATAGTTTAAGTCTCATATCACATTTTACAGCCTGAGTAGGGTCTACATGTGATAAAGCTTACCATTCAGCGAAATTATTTTTGGTATTCTTGTTCAGTCCTCTACTCGTTTAGAACAAGGGTTATAAAAAGGTTGGTTAGAATTGAACCTGGGCTCTATAATTGATAATATTCATTTACGAACGGCTGATGGAAAAACGCCGCTTGGATCTATGAAATCAAAGCGATTTTCTGAAAAGTAGAGACAAGACCTAGGCTCACTTTTTACGTATTTCAATATAGACTCTGCCCGTCTGTGTTAAGCTCTGGCAAAGGGCTAACACCCAAAGCGTAAGCTTTAGAAAATCTTGGCGGTGCCCAATATACATTATCAACTCAAATTATCTCATATTGAGCTCTGTTTACCTCGCATTCAAATGGGCTAAGCCACCTTATTTTAATAGTTTTTATTCAATATTTGAATTGTGAATTATGAGCTTACGATGAAATTTAAATTTGAATAGAAGCATTATCGGCAGTGCCAATCAATGTGACATGATATCCAAGAGTTGCTTGTGATCTATCGATGACACTTTCGTGGAGATACAGAGAGGCTGGAGGAACTTTCTTCAAATTTTCTCGACTTCGATCGGTGTTAATAATTTTTGATCATTTCATTGTGTAGCTTTTCGGTTTCCGCCGTTGTCTGCGTGCAAGGTGCTCCGTGAAATACCTCTTACTTACCGAGTTCGAGGTCCTCACTGTTAATAAGGACCGCGTATTTTCTGCTCAAATGCAAAGCGCCCGGGTCATAAATCCGTGTAGAAGTAACGAGGTTCCGTGACTTATGGTACGGACCAAAAAAACGAGGTTAGTGAGACATTTGTTATATCTGCGGGTTCAGTTAGAGGGGAAGGTTTCAATTTGAACAAATGTTTTATTCAGCCAGCCCCGCAGTGAAATACGGCGTGATAAATTGACCATTTAAAGCGTACGTACCAACTGAGCGACATGATAACAATGAGTTACACGTGCGTAGAGAACAAAGTAGTAATAGTAATAGTAATCAAAGTTTAATGTCTTTACGTGGGGCATGGTTACCCATATTGCCCCCCCCCCCAGCCAGTTATCAAGCCTCCTTGCTTAGGCCCACT